TCTTTTGCGTTTGTTTTTTTTTCCTTTCTTTCTCCCCCTCAGATCCATAGAAAGAAAAAATGAAAGGGGAAATGAACTTCCGGCATATATTGATGTGTTTCTGTTTTGTTTTAACTTCCCTAATCGTCGGTACTCATATTACCTTTTTATGTTGCAAGTGCCGCAAAACTCTTGTAAAAATTATGAAAAGATAGTTTGGTGCGTATTATACCAGAATGAAAGATGTTCTAAAACAAAACGTTGGTGGTTGGCGGGTGCTCCAGTGTAGTTTGGTTCTTTTTTCCTATCGAACATTTATCGTCCTTATCTCCCCTCCTTCTCTTTTGTGTTTGTTACTCTCTTCTAACACCTCTAATCTACGACGCTAATGACTTTATTGTATTGCGAGTGCCGCGAAAAAAATGGTGAAATGGTATACGTTTAACGCCCCTATCAACATTATCATTATTATGTTATTTAAGAAGCGGGACCTCCGAGTTTAACGTCCATCTCCGAAAGGACCGAGCCAAATGGGGAATTCGTGTAAAGTGCCTTTCCCAAGGACACAACGTCGGACCGAGCTGAGGCTCGAACCCCTGAACCCGCAATCTCACGATTACGAGGCCGGTAGCCTAACCACACTTGCGAGTGCCGGAACATTTTTACTCAAACAACAAACAAAAAGATATTCTCCAACAAAACTGTAATCAGTTTGTCTTTTGTTGTGTCCCTCAGCTCGCGGGAATCTCTCCCATCACGGTGACTGTCCTCCTCGGCGTCTCCCATGTGGCCTGACGGGGTGACTTAAACCCTCGCCCGCCCGCCCTGCCCTGCCCACACCCTGCCCACTCGACCACCCTACCACCTGACGATGCTGCCCACCACCTCGTGTAGCAAGCCTGACTAGGCAAGGACCAGAGAGAACAAGAGAGGATAACAACGTTTGCTGGGCCTCAAAGGCCCTTTGTGTTGTCTCGCAATCACGTGTGGCCCCTCCAGAATCCCACCAATCAGGACTCGCCCCTCAAAACAGAGACACTTTGACCTGTCCCCTTTCCCCCCTACAACAACTCACCCCGCCCCTTTCCTATTCCCACCACTCGTTCAGCTCCCCCTCCCCTTCCCCCTCTTGATCAGCACTTGCTCTCCCCCCTCCCTCCCCAAAATCACTTGCTCCGCCCCCTCCCTGTTACCAGCACTCGCTCCACCCCCTCCCTTCAATCAGCACCCGCTCCACCCCCTCTCGCCCAGCACTCACTCCGCCCCCTTCCGACCGGCACTGTGGCGCCGCCTTCCAAGAGCCCACGACTAGCCCCCGCCTGCGCCGCGCCGAGCCTCCCGCCTGTCGTGCTACAGTCGGCAGCGACGGCCACGCCCCCAGCTGTCGCTCTAGCAGCGGCGGCCACGCCCCTTGTGGGCGGTCACTTTGAGCTCAGCAGCAGCCGACTCTTGGCCCGGGCGCGGCTCTTACTGCTGCCCGTCGAGGCCCGGATGGAGCGAAAGAGGAAGAAGAGTACGGCGTCTTTGGAGTGAGTTGATGGTGATATCTGTAGCTGTTTGTTGTTTTAGGTCGATGCTTTTCTCTTTTTTTTAAAATTGTGTTTTGGATGGTGTTGTTGTTGTCGTTGCTTTGGGGCGTGGTGAAAAGTGGGGAGGGGGTTGCTTGTTGCCATGCTTTCTCCTGGAGTGGGCTTACTTGTTTGATTGGGGTTTTTTTAAGGTGGTGGGGGTACGTTGAGGGGGGGGTGGATGGGGGAGAAC